CGCGAGGATTCTGTTGTATATTCGAATACAGATTTCTGGTTCTTCCATAATTTGGCCCTGAATATTGGTATTCGCTACATCCTGCCAACAAACCACTTTTCTTCTCCTTTCGATCTATGTTGGAGAGACAGGCAGGATGTTAGGTGGGCTCATCTCGCTCAAAGTCGCCTGTACAGACTCCAAGCAGCTGTTTTGTGCATGTTTCGAACAACGCACATTTCAACAGCTCTGGGGTGTGCAGACTTTGCATGGAGTAGATGTTCTTTGAGCTGCTTTCCCCGGTACCACTTCACACTATACGTAACATTTGAGATTTCTATCTGTGCGTTCAAGTAGGCACAGTTAGAAATCTCAATAGAAAGATAGGCGTTGTGCGGGGCTTCTTTTGTTGATTTATGTGCTGTGATTGCTGATTGAGGATGCTTATTAATTCTATTCAAATTTTGTTGAAGTAATTGCTCAGCAGTCATCAATTTATCGTAGTACATAACGGGCATGCGTGCGATCATGCGATCGAAAATATGGCAGGAAAAAGGCGCGGAAATCTGCTTACTCCACTTGGCAAGCACCGAGTAGAAGGACATCAGGGTAATGATTTTGAAATCAAATGCAAAATTCTAGCCTATGAAAACGACATCGGTGCTAGAAAAATGTTAGAGGCGTTCTATATCCGCGTGAAAAATCCAAGACTGAACAACCGAATGAATGCATGGCCATAACCAATGAATCCTTGCCTTCGTTAATTTTCATTTCATTTTTTTCGTTTTTTTCGTTTTTTCCCTTTCATTTCATTCGCTGACTAAACGGGGAAGCTGCTAGAAACTGGTAGAATTGCAGTTTGGTTCGCTTGCTGTGATCGTTTGTTCTGCACTGTCTTGCATTCTGGGAACTCAGCAAGATTAGGCGCTTACCGGGTGAGCTACAGAGCTAGGACTTCGAACCAGTTTCAGGTCCTGAAGACGATTTTTGTCGAAACGTTGACCAAGTAAACGGTTTCACCATAACAACCTGCATGGATCAGGAGAAATAAGACTTCTCGATAGTTTTTCATCCCAACGACTACAGAAGAAGCAGGAAAGGCGGTTCAAAGAGGACCTCGACGGATCGTTGACCATTATGATGTTATTCTGGAAGGCTGGTCAAAAGCAGCCTTGCATAGCTACACCTAGTGTCTCTAGGAAAGCTATAAGTCTGTTAGCTGGAAGGAAGGGCTGCTACTGCTCATGGGAGGGGGAGGGAAGGTGGAGAGGATTTGTAAGGAACATGTTGCTCAAAACTTTCAACAACAGCGGCACCCTGTGCGAGATTGTTGATTTGTTGATGTGTGACATGAGCAACCCTCCTCCTCCCTCTGTAGTGTGGGATATTATCCGCGTTCACGATTTTAACGAGATGGGCCGGTTGGCGGACAGGGGCCTACGAAACCGAGCTGTGGCTTAAGCGGATACTGATTTTTGATTTGTTTTTCATCGTTCTCAAAAGAAAATATAGTAGTGGCCAGAATTTTACTAACAAACGGTTTTTTCAAGATTTCTCTTTCTGAAAATCACTGGATCGTCTCCAAATTTGCAACAATTATTAACTACGTGTTTTATGATCCACACAGAAAATTTCAACCTTCAGCTCAAATTTGGGTTTGAAAATTTTAGATTTTTCGAAATTAATGAAGGCAGGTGAAAGATCACTTGATCCGTTTATTTGATTTAAATAATGTATAACCCAACAGAACAGTCAAGTAAACAGTCACTAACATTAAGCAAGTCTAGCACATTGCCCAGAACTCTCTAAAGTATTGGATACATAAACTGGATTTGAATGCGGGGTCAACTAATGAACTCACTCTCTAGTGGGGTCTCTCTGTAGTCCCGTCTTTTCGTGGCTCTTTCATTGACATACGAATTTGTAGGTCCTCCCTAGTGGTTCTGTAATGTTTGGCTCAAGAGTCTGGCCTGGCTGGTCTTTTAAAAGCACCCCATGCTGTCGAAACCACTCCTGCATGTGAGAGGCCCGATGCTTTGAGTCGCTGCTCTGCCGACAGACAAAGTCAGGTCGGCGGCAGCCACGCCTACGGATACATGACACCTTCCAAAACATGACAGCAAACGTCTGCCTTCATCGCTACCTCAGTCGTGTAGCGTGGTCCCACTTTTTTCCAAGGCAACCTTATCAAGCCTCCGCCAAGTTTCACAATTGGCAGCTGATTCTTTGGATCAAAACGTTCCCTCTCGTGGTGCCGTACATTACTAGTATCCTTGCTGTCATGCATCAGTAATATGTTTTTGTCATTCCAGATGACCTTAGAAACCTGTATCAACCTTCGTTTCAGGCTTAGTCAATCACATTCTACTCCCACCTCACTTCACAGCGAGCTCTCTTCTTTCGTTAGACTTTGAGAATCAATGAATACCTAGTATCACTTCATTATACAAACCAGAACTTTGGTGTGTCGGTTTGTCGGTGTGTGTGTGTGCGTGTGTCGTTCTGTCCGTCCGGACCGACCGCTCACAAAACCAGGGAGTACGAAGGGCAACACTTCGTGATGTTGATGTCATGATCATGATAAACCCACAGCGGCTATATAAACACCGATCGAGCACACTCAGTCTCATTCTACATGGTGCTGCCGTGGCAGCCGGATGAGCGGGGGGGGGGTGGAGAGTGGTAGAGGGAAGGGGGGCAATAAAGGAGAGGCTGGAAAGGAGGAGAAGGGGAGGGAAGGGGGAATGAGAAAGGGAGGAAGAAAATGGCGCTGCATGCGCCGTAGAGAAGGATTATAAGAAGTATAGACACATTCAATGAGGAGTACGTCATGCTGCTATTCCAAGGTCCTCCCCCTACCCTGTGATGCGCGCGATAGCGGGCGGAGAAAGCCTGGTATACCTAGATTCTATGGTCGGTCCATAAGTCTTGCAACAAACTGGCCGAATTTTGAATTTAATAATTTCATTATCTTTTTGTTCCATTCATCCGGCATGCTACCCTCCATCAATATCTACAACCTATTGCCAACACACTAGTAGCTGCTCGATGCCTCCCTTGTAGGACTCTACTGAATTCTGATCGAAGAAAGATCAGATGTCGATTTTGACATCATCATAGTTAGGATGAGCTTTCTTCTCTAGGAGATGGTTTGGAGAGGGGAGCAGAAGGGCATTATTTGCCTCGAGGTCAGGGCTATAACGTGAATACGGAAGAACTCTCCGTCCCAGAGTCTCGAAATTTTCCTGAATTTTCTTAGCAAGAGGTTTTTCAACGGTGTCATACAAAAGCGAACTTTGCAAATATATAAAAAAACGAATAAAATTGACTGCGACATCTATACGGAGAGGTTTCCAGTACCTAACTCTTCCCGTGCTCCACCAAAAATCCGAGAAGGCCCTACTTGGACGAGGTTGAACTTAAGCAATAAGATCTCCCGAAGCGTTTAGCTGGACTGTTCATTTGTTAGTAAACTGTACCCACTCCTCATCTTCGGCAAATGTGATGGATGGTCAATCGTAGAATCCCTAGTAAGTCGACTTGAACATAACGGTGTCAGATCGTGTTTGGAGCTGAATCGGGCTTGCCACATGGCCAAAAAACCGGTTGGGGAAACTCTACATTTTCGGATCTTCACAAGTCTTTGGATACGCCACAGTGCTGTCTACTTGTCGCATCGGAATCGCTCTAGCAATTGATCAATACTCTATCCAGATTCCTTTTCAACGCCGTCAGATATAGCATCGTGATTGTCAGTCACAGGGTGGTTGGAGTGTGGGTTATTTTCAAATAAAAAAGTCAACGCTGAGCAGAGTGAAGCGCCGTTGCACTGTGGTTTGAGAGAGCTTGCCCTCGCCTATCTTCTGGCCAATCCTTGGTCTAGCATGACTTGCGGAACATTCCAAGCAGTACTCGTAAAAATTAAGGGCATCGAGAGCCCTCTCGCGAAATCGGTGTAATATCCATAACAAGTAAGCAGACAACGAGCTGGACCGTTGGCTGAAATTGCAAAGGTTGATGCTACGTCAGGAAATATGTTGCGGATTTTCAGGAGTTCTCCCTAAAATTCTATAGCATTAAATGTAGTTTGTTGCAAGACTTATGGACCGACCTAATAAAAAATGTTGTGTATCCGTAGGTATGGCTGCCGTACGACCTGGCTTTGTCTGTCAGCAGAGCAGCGACTCAAAGCATCGGCCTCTCACATGCAGGAGTGGTTTCGACAGCATGGGGTGCTTTTAAAAGACCAGCCAGGCCAGACTCTTGAGCCAAACATTACAGAACCACTAGGGGAGGACCTACAAATTCGTATGTCAATGAAAGAGCCACGAAAAGACGGGACTACAGAGAGAGACCCCACTAGAGAGTGAGTTCATTAGTTGACCCCGCATTCAAATCCAGTTTATGTATCCAATACTTTAGAGAGTTCTGGGCAATGTGCTAGACTTGCTTAATGTTAGTGACTGTTTACTTGACTGTTCTGTTGGTTATACATTATTTAAATCAAATAAACGGATCAAGTGATCTTTCACCTGCCTTCATTAATTTCGAAAAATCTAAAATTTTTCAAACCCAAATTTGAGCTGAAGGTTGAAATTTTCTGTGTGGATCAGAAAACACGTAGTTAATAATTGTTGCAAATTTGGAGACGTTCAGTGACTTTCAGAAGAGAAATCTTGAAAAAACCGTTGTTAGTAAAATTCTGGCCCCTACTGTATTTAAAATTATCTGCCGCTGAACCTTACACTTCGCGGCTCACAACCGATGTCAGCTCATCACGCTACACGTGTATGCGCTAATAATTCAGAGCAATTATACCAGCACTGGCTGAGCTAATGTGAGGTGAAGTGGCGTGGTAGTACACTTGCCCGGAAAACTCTACCAGCGGGTTCGAGCTCCGCGTACACGAAGACTTTGCTCATAACTCAGCATACTTGTGATAACAGTAGGGAGTGTTTCCCGGGTCATTTCATGCCTAATGACTTATGATGTCGTTTGATAAGAAAGTTTCAAACTAACATCACCATTCTTCCGTTTACTTTCACTGTAATGGTTCCAAACATGAATCCTTCGCCTTTCATCAGGTACGGTTCGGAAGTAGACTTCGCGTCCTTAAAACAAACATAAACAATAACGTCGAAAGATGCCCTTTTATCAAGTTATGTATTGTGACAGCGACCCATAATGCTAGGGGTAAACGTCCGCTTGAAGGACAACCATGCAGACGGTTCGCGTGTGAACTCTTCTCTCTCGGTCGGTCAGAAGTATAGAACCCTAGGGGACAATCACAAATGTGGCGTTCACGTGCACGGAATTCGACCGACAAGAACGCTTTGGGCTTGCAAAGTAAGCTGCTCGAGCTGCAGCGAACGAGCTCTCTTATCAGGCCGTTGTCTGGTGCTCTCTCATCTGATGCGCTCTCTCGCCCCATACTCTCCTCTTCGCGCTTAGTCTCTCGTTCCTTTAGCACAGCCAATTAGGAAGGTGAGTGAGCCCTCAACCTGAGCGTTTTCGACGGATTCTTTTCCTTTTTTTGTCGACTGCCGGCCCACTTCGCACCGATAAATTCACATTCGTGTGCAAGAGACACACCAGTGCGATCCTGGGGCATGCCTTAAGGCCACCGTCAAGGTTTCCTGGTAGATTTTCCATTTTGCTAGGATCCTCAC